CACACACACACACACACACACACACACACACACACACACACACTTATTGTCAGACAGGAAGATGTTTCTGGTTTTGTCTTTGGTTTTATTTCCATTTTAAATCTTCAAATTGTTTGAGGACAGAAGAAGAGTTTGTTTGAAAAATTCCTTTAAAATTCAGTCAGCTGAGTTGTTGGTGACATCATCAGAATGACATCATCAGAGTGACATCGTCACTAGTTAAAGAGCAGCAGCAGATGTTTTGTGGAAAGTTGAACATTCCAGAGAGCTGAACTTAAAGAAAACATCAGCTTTTGTCTTTAAACATGAATATTTTCTGAAGGTTAGCTGATAAATCAAACTGTTTAAATCTTCACTCTGTTGTTAGAACCTGGAGGTTGTTTTTGTTGTTGTTGTTCCAGGAGGAGATAAACATTAAAGATTATGTCTAAACTGCTTCTTTTCTCACAGTCTGAGGCTCTTAGTCCGGACACTTTGTGTTTCTTTGCTTCATTATTTTTGTCTCTTTGTGTTTTTGTTCTTCTGGGTCAGACCTGATTTCTGTCGGCCCACATTCTTATTTTTAGACCTCCGGCTGAAACAGTTCCTCACAGACAAACTGCTCATCTTCATCACTCCTTCTCATGGTCCACTCCCCATTGAAACCTGTCGCTCCTCCTCCTGGTAGAACTTGTGGGTCTTTGTCGGCTGCATGGATCGCAGCAGACTGCAGGCGTCTTCAGGGAGTACAGGAGTGAAAGATTTAAAGCTTTATTAATAATCCATGCAGATAACCAGCAGTTATGTTCTCCTCTAAGTCTGAAAATCAACTTCATCAATTCTTCAAAACAACAGATTAGAAGATCTTCAGATGTTTGATCGAGATGCCTCTGTTGATGGTTTTTCAGGTCCAGAGGGGACCTCAGGGTGGACCCAGAACCTCCTGTGAACATTGGAGATAAATTATAAATCATAAATAGAAATCCAAAACGTTTGCAGGATTCTCATGTGAGCTGCACAGTCCCAAGTACAAAATAAAAAACACTTGTTAAGTTGCTCCAGACATGGGATCATTTATTAGTTTTCATAAATTTAATTATGTATTTTTATTTTAAAAATTATTCATTTCATTTAAAAACAAAACAAATACATACAATGAATAATAATACAAAACACAAATAAAATGAAAGGAAGCAGAAAGAAGAAATAATAATTATTAACATAACAATATACAATATAAGTAATATCTGATATCTGGATTATGGATGGTTGGATGATGGTTGGATGATGGATGGATGATGGTTGGATGGTGGTTGGATGATGGATGGATGATGGTTGGATGATGGATGGATGATGGTTGGATGGTGGTTGGATGATGGATGGATGATGGTTGGATGATGGTTGTATGATGGATGGATGATGGATAAAAGTTGGATAATGGTTGGATGATGGTTTTATGATGGTTGGATGATGATTGGATGATGGTTGGATGATGGTTGTATGATGGATGGATGATGGTTTGATGATGGTTGGATGATGGTTGGATGATGGTTGTATGATGGATGGATGATGGTTGGATGATGGTTGGATGATGGTTGGATGATGGTTGGATGATGGTTGGATGATGATTGGATGATGGTTGGATGATGGTTGGATGATGGTTGGATGATGATTGGATGATGGTTGGATGGTGGTTGGATGATGGATGGATGATGGTTGGATGACGGTTGGATGATGGTTGGATGATGATTGGATGATGGTTGGATGATGGTTGGATGATGGTTGGATGATGGTTGGATGATGGTTGGATGGTGGTTGGATGATGGATGGATGG